CTCTTAACCTTACTTGCCTCAGTGTCCTCATCTGTAAAATGAGCTGGAGAAGGAAAAGGCAAACTACTCCAGTATCTCTGCCAAGAAAACCCCAAATGGGGTCAGGAATAGTAGGACACGATTGAAAAAATAACTGAACAAAAATACCCACTATCATTATACCCATGCTGTGTACCTTGTACACAGCAGGCTCAGAAATATGTGAATAGTAAATAAACTCAAATAAATAATCATACATAGCACTAGTAAAATTTTTATCTTTATTTGTATTAACTATAAATAAAATTATAAATGTGGTTGAAAAGGCAAAATAAATACAAAGTGATGTTTTCTCAGTTATTATAGTTGTTAATAATCTAGAATTAAAAAGAAAGTTCATTTTAATTACTGGTTTACAGACTTAGATGACCTCTGAAGTCCCCTCTAAGATTCTAGATGTTTAACTTCTCAAAGAGACACAATCTTCTTGTTATTTTTTTGTTGAGGGCATCTATGTAGAATTCATAGAAGGCAGTGTTTCAGGAAAAAAAAAAAAAGACCTTATCAAAAAAGCTATTTAAAAAAGGTTCCTCCTTTGGGAGAAAGAATGGTGGAATTTTTACTATTTCCATTTTGTTCAAATTTGTGTTTCTTTTTACTTGAATATAACTTTGAGAACTCATTAGAAAGAAATGATGGCCAATTAGTGTTAGTCAGAATCATGACTTGCACTTTATATCACCATTTTGTCAAATCATAATGAGGAATTAGCGCTGGACCTCAAAGAGATGACTGCAACTACATTTTGTATTTTGAGTCGGGTAATGCTATGCATCCGTGGGTCATTTTGTGCATAGGGGCACCCTCCCCACCCCTGCCAAAAAGAAAGTGAAATTATAAGAAATGGTAATATTTGAAAATGAAGATAAGCATGGTTTTGCTTACTGTCTTTTGACTTAGAATTAAAGTACTGACATCCAAAAGTGTCCGGCAAAAAAGGATATAGTTTTAAAATAAAATACTTGTAGGCTTCACAACAAAACTTAGGTTTCTTTTAAAGTAGGTTCTCTTGTAACACTGACATGCTAATTTGAGAGATTTGTTTTTGCTTGCTAAACAGGGCCTTTAAAGCTTCTAAGAAAAAGGAGACACGTGTACAGTACTCTCGGAAAGGCTGTTTATGATTATATAAACTGCCTGCATTTTCACTAACACTTGAGGGGATGAGTATTAATGTTTGTTTAGATAGAATTTCTGAAGACATGCTTTCTGAGGCAGTTTTTATGCTGTCTCACCCTAAAGATTTCCTGGAAAAGATGAGGTTACTGATTCTAACAGCAAGAGGGAGAAAAACCAGCACTCTACCTGGCTGTTGCCAGCTAAGTGGTCGGAAACAGGTGTCGTCTAGGCCAAGCCAAGAGTGCTATCAGTTAGAGAATTAAAAGAAAAAGATAACATGAGGAGACAGGAACTTGACCTAGAAGGAAAAGTAAAAAGGAAAAAAGTAGTTCAACTTCCAAGACCTTATCCATGCTTTTCATTGTTTTATTGACTAAACAGGACATGTCATTTGGATTATCAGGCTAAAACATGAGTTAAAGTTTTAGTGGCATTTCAATCTTCAGGTCAATCAAGAAAAAAGGCTTAGAGTACTCTCAATTCTAGTTTCTTCTTATCAACTGAAGTTATCAGATAGATTAGTTGATATTTAATGTGTCATGGGTGGGGGAATCTGAATTGAACCATTCAGATATCTAATTTTACTACCAAGTCAATATTTAATAGAGTTCCATGTGCTTAGTATTTGAATTGGTTCTGAGTCAGACCATAATGACACCAAGTCATTTATTTTGCTTGTCTCAAGATTTCCCATCAATCCAGCACACTTACTTACACAAGAGGCTGTCTTAAAAACTACATGATAAAATGGTCCCAGTTACTTTACTGGCATGGAGAGAGGATGTCAATAATCAGTCTGGCTAAGAGTTGGTATTATCCCTCCTTTTTGATGTTGCCCATGTCCAATCTAACAAAACTAGCTCATAACAGAGGGCATGGTAGTGGTAGGTAGTACAAAAAAAAAAAGTGAGAGGAAAGAGAGTGAGAGAGAGAAACCTGGGTGCCCACATACATTTCTTAAACTATCTTCAATATTTCTATCTCATCTTCCTGCTATTTCTGGGACAACTGCTCTGATCCATGGTCCAAGTGAATAAGTCCTTCCAGTTGAATCTTTATAGACTATTACCTGATCTATCAAATTTACATGCAAGATACTGCCTATTCATGGGACGCCTTTTGCCAGGGACTATTTTATTTAGAAATGGAATAGTTTCTTCTCTTCCATGAAAGACCTTCCTGACCTAATGAAAAATGATTCTTTAAGATAAAACTATAAATGCCAAAAAAAGTCTGGCCTGTAGCTGCTAAAAGCCAGAGACAACTAAAATTGGTGAAGTTCCACTTCTTTCACCAAGTATTTCACAAGAAGTCATTCATGGAAACTGAGTTTTAACACTTATTTCCTCCCTCTAAAAAATAAATAAAACACCAAACCCAACAACAAACCAGTAAGCCATGAAGTACTCTACATTTCACCAGAGAGTCCTGAACTTCAAATTCACCAATGCATTATATCTATAATCTACATGTGGACAATGAAGCGCCCTATTCAAGAGAAGATGCTAAAAGACTGAGCAAAACTTAGAAAAGGAGACCTTTAGAAATCAGGACAAGAATTGTCAAAGGAGTATTTATTATATTAATAATTCAAGGTGAATAAAGCTCTTCCCAATAATGACAAAATATTACACAACAGAAAACCTGTATATTAATTAGCTCATAGACTTAAAATCTGTTCCAAGTGCTTTTTGGTACAATGTGGCCATGTGCTATTAAAAAAAAAAGTGAGGCAAGTCAATGCCGCCTAAAACATCAAAACTTAAAAGATTAAGCCACTATAAAAGGTAAAAGTTTAAATGTCACATTATGGGAAACTGAGAAAATGGAATTTAAGAGATGTGATAAACTTTGGATTAACACCAGTACCCTTCCAGGGATTTAACTGACAACAAGAATTTAAAAATAAGATTATGGTAAGTACTATAAAATGCATAGAAAACTTTAAGGAAGTTTCAAGGAAGGAAGCAAGTAGAAGGATTAAGCAATCTAAAACTGGTTTACAAAAGAGAATGACAAACCTGGAAATAACAAAGCCAGTTTAAAAATCAGATCTGATGCCTTTGCTCAAGTCATGCTCCTCTTAGTTATGTATCAAAAAGAATCAAAAGGCATAAAATGATTAATATAATTTGCATTATCCATCCCAATTTAAAAAAACTTAATAATGACCCGTAATATCAATAATGCACTACATATGAAATTACCTAATTAGCTCAAGTTTGGCTGTTAGACAAAATAGCGAAGTAGCTTCTGGTTCTCTCTTAAAACAGCTTACTTTTCTGATAATGGTTGTGAAAAGCTCCTGTTTCCATGTTGCTGTATTTCTAAACTATGGTAGTCTACTACCATCCAACTAAGAAGGGAGCAGTTACAGAAGTTTCTGACAAAAGAAAAGAGATGCGTCTGAATTTTACATTCAGTTGAGGGTTAGGAAGACTTTTCCTAAGAAAAGTCCTTGCTGCTTACTTCTTTGTACAACTCTCAGCCTACTGTTCAAAAATGAAAAAAGAATTTTCTTAGAAAGCTGAAGATAGTGTGGTGGTGTAGTTGTGGGAATGAGTGTGGATGGGAATGAAGAGAACTGGGTTCTCTGGCCACCGACATGACCCAAGGCCAGGCACTTAAGCTCCTGGGCATTTAGTTTCCTCCTCTGTAAAATGAAGAGGTTAGACTAAATTACTGAATGAGAGAATAATATTTGAGCTAGAAGGAACCTAAAATATTATCTAGTCCAACCACCTCATTTGTTAAGAAGAGAAAACTAAGGCACTGAGAGAGGTGAAAACAACCATTGCCACTATTATTAAGCACCTGGTCTATGGAAAGCACCTTCTGGGTAGAGAGTGAAATAAACACCTGGTCCTTTACCTCAAGGCTCTGAGAGCCCGAGCAAGTACACCACTACCACCACCACACCAAATTAAATACGAAAAATGTACAAAGCACTAGGGAAGAGAACAGTAGAGGGAGAGATCACTTCGCACTGGAAAACAGGAACTGATTCGGTAATTTCTCTATCTTCAGACAGAGGCCATGCTAATCTTCTCTGTGTCATTTAGTATATATGTATAAGGGAGCTGCCCAAGGTCATTCATTCAGCTAAAGCTCTCGTAGCTCTAAAATTTTACATGAAATGTATTTTCTCAAAATGTAATCACTTAGGAAAACAAATTACTGGAAATATTTCTTTTAAAAGTCAGTGGTCAAAAAAAATACTGTTAACAATGACAAAGGAAAACCTTTATCTTTTCAGTTATGGAAAACTCCTATTTAAAGGCTGTCTTATTTAAATAAGTTTTTAATTTTTTTTAACTGTATAGGAAGTTACTAGAACTTATTATTTGGTCACTTTTTCATAAGGGATAGTTTAAAAACATGCAACTTAGGACCTAGGAAATACATCTGACAAACACAGAGGCCCTCTTGTAAGAAGTTATTTGAATGCAGTTAAAAAAAAAATCTGTAGACATCTTCTGGCTTTCTAGATGTGCAGGTAGATGAATGTGAGTCAAATTCCATTTGATACCTATTTTAATATTTCTTTCCAAATAGGACAACTATAATTCTTCCCTTTACAAATTTTACCAGTAAGAAAAATTCTAATAGGGAAGACCAGAAACAAAGCTTGAACTAATGAAGTAAAATTGTATATAAAGCAGTACCTATCACTAGAACACATCAGGCCAGTACACTTTTGATATTCCAAGGCTTTAGAAACTTATGTAATTATTCAAGTATGGTCCAAATAAGGCAAAGTGATCAATCCATTAGGTATTATTTAGATCAATTCAAACACTTAAAAATTTGTGGTACAGTTAATAAAGATTAACTATACTTACGCAATTGCAACATTGCTCCCATCTATAACAATGTGCCTTAAATCTGATCTCCCTGGTTCATTTTTTAATTCCAGCCTGTATGGTGTTTTTAGAGTATCCCGGAATCTTTGAACCCCAGTAACTGAGGAATCAATACAACGATTGGACGGTCCTGCCAGCTTAACACTAGTAACTGAAGGGAGAAGCTGGGGTGGAAAAAAAGGCATCGGAGGGAGGGGTTGGCAATTTGGCTTGACTTGGGAAGGGCTGCAACAGCCTAGCTGGCTTTCACATATAAGATTAACATTATTCTTTGGAACTGTGATCCCAGTTTTTGGAAACAAAATATTTTCAGGAATAACTGGTACTCTTGGCTGGTGACTCGGAGTTCCTCTGGCAACAAAATCCAGGTCTGTTAGTATTCCCTTGTCATTTAAGAGCTTCTTTAAAGGGGAAACAGAAGGTGAAGAGCCATCCATTTCTATATCTACATGGGGAACATGGCTCTGGGTAGAATTCCAATTTTCTGCTCTCTGTTCTGTTGGAACTGAACTGGAAATTTTCATTTTGCAGTTTGAGGTACCTGGCTTTTCTTCTATTCTGAGAGGTGACTGAGATTGTTCTATTATGTTTTGCTGCATGTGATCCTTTGTTTTCTTTGGAGAAAAATTCATTTTAAATTCATTCTGACTATTGCAAATACCCTTGCTTTTGGCTTCAGTGACCTCCAGGCACAAAATTGAAGTGTGCCTAGGGAAGACTTCTTTTTCTTCCTGGAACTTTTTGTTTTCCTTTTCAATTTCTTCTAAGAGTACTAAGGGTTCTGTAGATGGTCCCTGCTCCTTAATAACTTTTTCTACAGTTTCCTGGGAGTATCCCATGGTTTTAAAAAAGTTTACCAGGATGTTATATTCCATTTCCTCAGTAGTGTCTTTTACATCAACGCCTAAATCTTCAGAGATTGTACAGGAATCAGAGAGCAGGTTAATCACTGTGCCAGCAGTCAATTTCTCAGTAGCAGATGGAGGCTCACCCCCCTGAACATTTTCCAATGAAAACTGCTTCTTCGTGTGTCTTTCTTCAGTATCAGAAGACCTCCTTTTGTGACATATCCTCTCTTTGGAAACTGATTCTTCAGGTGGAGCTACACCATTTACAGGAACAAAAAGAACCTCTGTGGAACCAGAAAAAACTGTGTCCATTTGTTTTGTAAGCTCAGAAACAGGGGTCCCTGCTTGCTTTCTTTCATTCTCCTGAAAAACTTGCCCATCATTGGACATGCTCAGCTCCTGGATGCCATTGTGTGTAAATTCTGTTTTCCGATCTGTAAGATCAATAATATCATTATCATCATAATCTAATTCATATGGATCTTCACCATGGGTAAGATTTAGGAGTTCTTTCTTCAATGAACTGGGTAAAATCAACAAGTCCATTGTATATTTATCTGCATGTGATTCAACGAATTGTTTAAATTGTTTTTTCACCTCTGATTCATTCTGAGTACTTGGCAGGCTCTCATTGTTTTCAAAGAGCTTCACAAATTGTTGTATGTGACTTCTGGCCATGACAACAGCTTCAGCACCACCTCTGATACTAAGCACACCAATGTCCAGAATGGACATATCAGCACATGTATCCTGGATCAAACTCTTAAGAAATAGGTTCTGTGCCCCAACAAAAATACAGTGCATGTCCTTTGGATAACATTCTCTCTCTTCTAATTCAGGTTCACAGATTCCCTTGATGAATTCCTGTAAAGATTAAAAAAAATTGCAGTTTAAAATTCCCTTAAAGTATGTAGTAAATGATATGTAATTACAAATAACAAGCCAATTTGGAAAGAATTAAAAAACATTTTCATCTAAGGAATGGGGAATTTTTATTTTTAAATTAAAATTTTAAAATACTTCCTTGTTTTCATCCAAGAAGGCTTTCTGAATGGAAGCAGACGACCCAGTTCCCAAACACCTACTCCAATAAAAATTTGAAACTGATACAAGACTGAATAATGATCAAGAAATCTAATGAGAAACTACAGTAAATAACTTCTACCCTCGAGCTGCACAATAAGTCATCCAGAAATCCACAGACAATAGGAAAGGAGCTACAAGAAAAGCCAGAGAGACAAACAAATCCACAGTCTCCTAGCACTAACAGAGACAGGCCAAAGACATGTGTAACCTAAAAGGCTCTGTGTGAGGAGGCAGCAGGATGAAGTGCTCCCACTGGAAAAAGGACCTGGGGAACAGTAGTACACGTTCACTAGTGCTCAGTTTCGGACAGCCCAGGTGTTCAGAGGCTGTCCAGTTCCCTAGAACTGTTCTGACATGCCTTAGAGGGCCCTAAATATTCAGCCCTCTAAACTTCAAAGATCAGAATATCTAACCCTGGGAAACAGAAGTCAGAAAAAGGGACCAAGTAGGGTTGACAAACCCAAACAAAAAGTATAGCAGGAACAGAGTCTGGCCTTGGCATAAAGTCTCAATTCAGGAAATAAAGGTAGAGAGAAGAACAAACCAAAGAAGTTATCAACCAGTATGAAAAAATTGTTGCAGATCTAGAGATTCCCCCCAAAAGCAACCTAGGAGAGTAATTCCATAACAATTCTAAGCAGTGACTCGAAGAAAACATGGATTTTCCATAAGGACCCCATAAATCTCTAGAAGATATAATTCAAGAGAAGGATACAATTAAAGCTTTGGAGAAAAGTGGAAGGAAAATAGCTTAGAAGGGAATGTGGAAAAATTTACCCAAACAATGGATTCCCTAAAAATAAGGCTAGACCAAACAGAAAGTAATGATTTCATTAGGCAGCAAGAAATATCAGAACAAAATAAAAACAAATAGAAAATGTAATGTATCTGACATAAAAAACAAATGACCCAGAAAACAGGTCAAGGAGAGATAATTTAAAAATCATTTGACTTTCTGAAATTTATATGTAAAAGACTGGATGTTATATTTCGAAATGTTGTAAATGAATACTGCCCAGCTCTATTAGATCTATAAGTCAAAGTAAAGATAGGAAAAACAAAAGACAAAACCACAGAGGCCAAAGGAAAATTCCAAGGAATTTCACAGCTAGAATTGAGAGGTCAAACATCAAAGAAATACTGCAAATATCTAGAAAAAAGCAGTTCAGATATCAAGTAACTACAATCAGAATATCTTAAGACCTGGCATCGAGGTGGTGTAGGAGATAAAGCAGTAGGCCTGAAGTCAAGCAGACTCCTCCTGAATTCAAATCTGGCCTCAGACAACTTACTAGCTGGGTGACCTGGGCAAGTTTCTTAACCCTGTTTGCTTCAGTTTCCTCATCTATAAAATGAACTGGAGTAGGACACGGCAAATCATTCCAGTATCTTTGCCATGAAAACTCTAAATGGGGTCATGAAGAGTCAGACATGACTGAACCATTTGAAGAACAATAACAATGGTAGTTTCTACTTGGCAAATATAGACTTACAATCAAGAATAATTTATCCTACAAGAAAAAAAAACCAGAGTGTGATGGAGGATTTTTCAAGCATTTGAAATGTAAGCACAAGTATCAAAAGAAATCTAGAAAGGTAAATTTATTTGAAGACTTAGAAGGAGCTGCATAATGATATAACACTAAGATTTTAATGAGGGAGAAGAAACAAATGTCTCTTTAAAACCTTAATGACTTCGAACGGTATTGAGGTAGTTAAATAAGAAAAGCAGAGGATTGTGCAGTAGATTGGTTTTGTTTCAACAGTTGAAAGAGGAGGAAGAGAAGGAAGGGTAAAAGGAATATACTAGTTTAGAAAGGAAGAAGAATGGAGTAGAACTAGGTAATTCTCCTAAGTGGAATGTGGGAGAAAAGAATTATGCAAAAATGAAAGAAGTAGGGGCATGAAGGGAGTAGGTATTAGAGAAACTGAAAAAGGAGAGATGAAGACAGACAGACAGACACACACACACACAAATAATGTAGAAATACATCAAACTCAACAAAGAAACAAGTGGGAATGGGTGGACTTCAGAAGTAGGATAATACCTTGAAAGAACAGCCTCAAGCAAAACAAGTTTCTTGAACCTGAAGGGGGAACAAAAAGGAAAAATGGAGGGTATCTGTCAATTAGGAAATGGCTGAACACACTATGGTATAAATGTAATGGAATATTATCATACTACAAGAAATTATGAAATAGAGAATTTCAGAGGATCCAGAGGAACTGATGCAGAATAAAGTAAGCAGAACTAGAACAATGTATACAAGGACACCAATATTATAAATAAAAAAAAAACTGTGAAAGAATCAAGAACTCTGATCAAAGTTTAGAGTTAACCAACTGTGACTTGAGGAAAAGCATGTTACCCACTTCCTGACAGAGAGGTGATGAACATACAATTTTTGATATGGCCTCTGTGTAGATTTGTTTTACTTGACTATGCTTATTAATAACAAGTCCCCTCATCCCCCTGGTTTTTATTTGGAGTGGTGGTTCGGAGGTGATAGAGATTATCAACGGTGAAAGAGAGAGAGAAGAGAAGGAAGGAGAGGAACAGAGAGAAAGAAAGAAGGGGGAAAAAAGAGGGAGGGAAAGAAAAAAAAGAAGAGAACAGAATGAATTTCAGAAGGAAGCAACACACAAGTAGAAAGGTTTGAAAGTAGCATGTAGAATATATTATATACTTAAAAAACCCAGGCAGTATAAAATAGAAATTTAGTTTCATACACAATCATCTTTTTACGTTTAGCTATGAATATGGAAATGCTCTTTTTTGTATGTTTAAGATCAGAATAAACAATTTTTAAAAAATATTTCCACGTGAGAAACGATCTGCTACAATTCAGAACTGAATCACTCCAAAAGAAATTAATTGATACCCTAAAATAAGGTGTAATTATGAATTTTTTAACATTGTATCTTGCTTCATATCCCTTAGTGTTTCTCAACCTTAGTAGTAGAGGTTTAATGGTCAAAAGATATATAAAGTAGCCAAATAAAAATATTTATGCTCTACTACTGGTCACATACAATTATGATAGCCTAAATACAAGGAAAAATAAGGGGTAAGATATAAAATCAAATTATATGCTACAGTATAAAACTTTTAACTTTTTGTTAGCTACCATCATTCCTAGCCTTCAGATTTTAAGTGAAAAAATAACTGACTAAAAATACTTAAAATATGGTTTATTATTAATCTGAAGAAAAATAATCACCAAATTGGAAGAAAATGTTTGCAAAAAAATATAATTCAAGCACCTATACCCTGAAGATAACTTGATTTTTAAAATGCAGACTTAAGTATTAGGAAAAGATAACTTGGATAATAAATTTCTTTTAAACCACTTAGGTGAAGTATGTTTTTTGGAAAACATGAAATTGGAGAAGTTCTGAATCAAAGTAGGAAATTAAGGTGAAATGAGGATAAGAATCAGAAAGATACTTGGTGACAATGAGTATGGAGCTACTCAAGGTACATGTTAAATATAAAATCAGAATGGAACTACTAAAGATAGTGTTACTGAAAAATCCCATCTATCTTCATCCAATATAGTGATTGCAAAAAAATCCCTAAGTTTCTTGGCACGTGAAATCTTTCTCAAGAGAATGGTATTTTTGAGGTGTCTACAAAGACTGTCAAAGCACTAGTTTTATTTTTTAAAAAAGTAAATTCATGAAGAATGGTACAAAATATTTATTTAAAGTAGGGCTTCTTACCCTTGGGTCCATGTAAGGGTCTGTGTAGAGATTTCCTCATTCTTCTTGATACTCTTTTTGCTAAAGATCTTTGCTAAAGATTTTTGTGGCACTACTTTCATCTTGGAATACACTAGGAATATGTAGGGTTAGTGTGTTTGACACTTCTGCTCTATACTATTTCACTTGGTGATCTCATCAGCTTCCAGGGATTCCATTATCATCTCTATTCTGATGATTCTCAAATCTATTTACCCAGCCCCAGCCTCTCTCCTGATCTTCCAGCCTTATATCTCCAGAATGTCTATTGGATATCCTGAATGGGACACCCCAAAGACATTTTAAATTCGACATGTTCAAGACAAAACTCATCGTTCCTCCCAAATTTTTTCCTCTTCCTAACTTTCTATTACTTTCAAGGGTATTACCATCCTCCAGCTTGCAACTTAGATGTCATACTTGACTCTTCACTCTCTTTCTCACACTTTCTCCATCCGATCAGTTCCCAAGTCCTGTTACTTGTACCTTGGTATCATCTCTCATATATGCTCTTTCCTCTGATACAGTCACCACCCTGACACAGGCCCTACACCTCATGCCTGGACTATTATAATACTCTGCTGATTGATCTTCCTGCCTCAAGTCTATCCTCCTCTATTCAGCTGTTAAATTGATCTTCACAGTTTTGACCAAGTCACTCCTCTATTCAATAAACTCTAACAACTCCCTCTCACCTCCAAAATCAAATATAAAATCTTCTAGTGTTCTGAGTCCTTCATAACTTTACACTCCCACCCTTACCCCATACTCTGCCAGTGACACTTGCCTCCCTGCTTTTCTTTCAATAAGACACTCACTGCACCTCCCAGCTCTGAGCATTTTCACTAGCTGTTGCTTATGCTTGGAATTCTCTCCTTCCTTATCTCCTCCTGGCTTCTGAGGCTTCCTTCAGGTCATATATATATGTGTGTGTGTGTGTATATACATACACATGTATGTGTGCATGTATATATATACATACACATGTATGTGTGCATGTATATATATACATACACATGTATGTGTGCATACACACA